ATTATTCCGCTGGCCCGGGGCGCCCACTGGCTGTGAGAACGCAGGCTGGCGACAGCCCTCGCGCCTTTGGCTGCGGGAGGCTTGGTCGACACCGTAGGGTTCTTGACTGCTGTTGCTGCCCTGCGGGCTGCCGCCACAATCTCTGCCGGCGCCGAACGCCCAAACGCCCTGCACTTGATCCGCGATGCCCGTTGTCCTAGCAGCCACACGGACACCCCCAGTAGGGAGTGCGAGCGTCTGGCAGCACATCTGGCGGTGGCTGTACCATGGGCTGCCTCCTGTGGCCGCCGATGATACCTTCGAGGGAACGTGGATGGCCCGCAAGCGCGGGCCGCACTGAAGAACGCGCTTGCAAGCTGAGGCCGCAAACCTGAGCCAAAACGGCTTGAGCCAAAATGGCTACGGATGAGGAGGAGGAGGAAGAGGTGGAAGAGGAGAAGGAAGAGGAAGGATGGAGGAGGAGGAGAGGATTGGTTCGCCCCCCCCTTTGCCCTTGGGGCGGGCGTCCCGCGGCTTCTCTTTGCGTCGCTCCTCTGGGTTTGCGTCCTTTTGCGCAACCCTTCTGCACGCCTGAGGCATGGCCCTTTGCTGTTTGTCCGCCAGCGGCAGGGTTCAGATGGCGGCGCTGCCGCCGCATTTTGGCGCACCCCTCACACGGTCCGTGGCCCCATTGGGGGCTCCACCGAAGGCCCCTATGGCAGAGCTCACATGGCGGCGATGCCCTATTTGGGCACACTCCTCGCGGGTTCGTGGCCCCATAGGGAGCTCAGCCGAAGGCCCCAGCGGTAGAGACCACATGGCGGTGCTGCCCGATTTTGGCGCACCCTCCACACGGTTCGTGGCCCCATGGCGATCTCAGCCGGAAGGTCTAGTGGCAGTGTCCACATGTCGGCGACGCCCAGTTTTGGCGCACCCAACCCTCAGACGATTCGTGGCCTCATAGGGAGCTCCACATAAGGCCCCAGCTGCAGGGTCTACATGGCGGCGCCGCCCTATTTTGGCGCACCCCTCACAGAGTTCGTGGCCTCAAAAGGAGAGATCTCCACCAAGAGATGTGCCACAACACTGTACGAACAACTGCACACGGTTGGGTCCTTCGCCAAAATGTTTTGTTCCCGACCCGGACCGAACCTGGGACCCGGGACGGTCGCGACTCCCACAAAGACAGCCACGGGGGCCCGACCGGGCGGCCCGACGCCCCAAACACTTGACGGAGCTGGCCCCCGCCGTGCTCTTGATTTGCGGACGCCAGCAGGCTCGGGCACCCTGGGCGGCGACGACGGGGGCGAAGGCAGCGACGACGACGACGGCGGCGGCGGCGGCGGTCGCGACCGCGGCCGCGGCCACCTCGGGGCAGGGGCCGCTGCTCGAAGGCGGCGAGCAGGAAGAGCAGGTCCTCACGACCAGGCGCGCGCGCGCGACCGAGGAAGGGCGGGCCGGGGGGCGCTCCTCCTGCTCCTTCTGCTCCTCCTCCTCCTCCGCGCCCTCCTCCGACTCCGACTCCTGCTCCTCCGTCTCCGCTCTCCGCCCCATCCTGCTCCTCCTCTCCCTTCCCCTTCGTCTCCTCCCACTTTTCCTCGTCTGCCTCCTCCTCCTTCTCCTCCTCCTCCTCAACGAGGACACTGACAGTGGAGGCAGCTGCTGACCCCACGCTCGGAAAAATTGCTCGGCAAGCCTCACTCGAGGAGCGTCACAATCATAAACAAAAACAGGACCTGGACACTTACGGGCTGGAAAGACAGGATCAGGCAAGTCACAAACAGTGTTGGTAAAGCTGAGGAGGGAGAATGTGGTGAGGCGAGCCAGGGGCAAGGCATGAAGTAAACCACTCTCAGGTGGTTTGACACTGCCAAGGCGAGCCAAACACGCACCATTTCACCCAAAAGAGGTACGACTCCTCACGTGTCCTTATGAAAGGTGTGAGGCGAGACTTCGCCTCTTCCTCACCATCACCATCACCATCACCATTTCCATCACCATCATATGATCACCATCATCATCACCATAAGCAGCAGCAGCATTCCATAATCGTCATCATCATAACCACCACCAACATCATCACCATCACCATCACCATCACCATTGCCATTACCATCACCATCATTATCATCATCATCCTCCTCATCATCATCAGCAGCAACATCATCACCACCATCACCATCACCATCACCATCATCCTCGGCGGCCTCCCGCCGAGCCTGCCGTTCAGCTAATGCCTGGCCGCCCCACTGGCGGCCCAGCAGCCGTGCTGGCCCGCCGTACCCGCGGCCAGTCGCCCTGCTCCCAGGGCTGTGCAGCCCTGCTTGCCCGCCCCGCCGGGCTGTGCGGCCCTCTCAGGGCTGTGCAGCCCTGCTCCCAGGGCTGTGCAGCCCTGCTTGCCCTCCCAGGGCTGTGCAGCACTCCCAGGGCTGTGCAGCCGTGCTGTGCAGCCCTGCTCCCAAGGCTGTGCAGCACTGCTTGCCCTGCGACCTGCAGCGGTGCTCTAAGCCTCCCAAATGGA